ATATATATATATATATATATATATATATATATATATATATATATATATATATATATATATACGAGCTAGCTGGACACAGACCTGGACAGACAGTCTAACTCAGTCAGTAGGTTGAGTTGTCTCCTCTGACTGGCTGAGGCCCCAGGGCACAGAGCGCAGCATCCCAATGCAGCTGCCGGCATGGCCAAGCAAGGTTGAGCGGAGCAGCAGGCGGGAGCTGCAACACCTCAGCATTGGATGCTCTGAACACTATCAGCCTATCAGGAATCTGAGTTCTTTCATGAAATATTTCTAACTTTGTTTGTTAGAAACTAATCACAAGCTGAAAAATACTGTGAGTGTAAGCAGCAAAATGTCTACCCGCCATACCCGCCATATAGCCAAAGGCTTCCTCCCACTTCCCACTGGCCCTCTTCCCACTGGACCCTTCACTGTCCCCGGAGTAGCCCCCACACATCCCACGGCTGGACCGTAGCCTGCTCTGTCTCCTGTCCGCGGCACTCTTCTGCTTTCCTCCCTGGAGGAAGTGCCACAGGGCTGAGGCTTTGAAGGATGTGTGAACATCAACAGGTACAGAACAGCCAGGCAGGGTAATCCTATCCAGAGGACTAGCATGAAGAGATGCGCGAAAAGTACAAGACATGATGAAAACCTCACAACCGTTCCAAGTATTCGCACAAAGGGTTTCTGGTCCTTGGAATCTGGTACTATAAAGGGATTGCTGACATTCTTGACATACACAAATCTTCTAAAAGGGTCCTCTGCAGAAGGATCACTGATGATTTAGGGTTTGTTGAAATAGTTCAGATAAATATTTATGTACAGCCATAAGCAAATCCACAAGGAAAAATATAATGCAAAACAGATTTTTTTTTTTTTCCTTGAAGCCCTTTCAGCTGGTGATAAAATTCCTAGCTTCAAAGGTTTTGGAAATAAATGTGACCAATTAATAGCTTTAAAAACTCATTCTAACAACGAAGCTCTGCAGGTTAGGCTTTCTGGCCATGTATGTTTAGTCACATCCGGGCTCCGAGAGCAAGGCTGAGTCCAGGGCCTGAAGTCATCCCGGGACTTACCCCTGAGTCACAACCAGAAATACAAATGAAGTTTGGCGTCCAGGTTAAAGCAGAGAGCAAACATCTGCCAACAAGTGTACAGCTTTGGAAATCTCAGTGTTCACCTTGGAGGATAATTCTAGGGCTGCAGCAGAGAGGCCTTGTCCCTCTCTACATCAGCTTTAAGTGCCGATGTCACCACCATGATTGCTAATACTTCTGTCACCATGACCAGCAACTCAGCAGCCTTTGTTGTTGTGTCGAGCTCCTTGCTTGCTCCTTCCTAGAGATTTTCTCTGGCCCCCCTAGCCGTCCCCCCTCCTGCAGTCTAGGATTTTAAAGTTCAGAGAAAGGAAGGAACGCGCCAAACACATTTAAACTTGTTAATGGATGAACTAAGATTTGAACCCAGGGCTGCTACCAATACTCATTCTCATTCTACTCAAATAAGGTAACACACAGACAGCATTTACCACATCATGGTTACCTCCTAAGCAGATTACCATAGCTTCCGCACGGTAATCTTTCTTCTCCCCCGTGCCCCCATTTTTCTTCTTGCTCTAACAGGTGAATCTACCAGGTAGGCCACTGCGGTGGGAAATCTGCTGGATTTAAGCTTATTCTCTTTAGTCCTCAGTGCTGCTACATATTCCCACAATGGGCTCCCCACACTGTAGCATTGTGGCAATCTGTACCTCACAGGCCACATGAAAATCTGGCCCACGGTTGGCCCTGATGACTTCGAGGTTGCTTTTCTGCCTTGTGAATCCTGAGGTCAGCCTGTTTGGCTCCCAGCCGCAGAGCCACAAGGGTGACACACAGAGGAAACGTGTGCCCGTATTCCCCTCCTGTGAGGTTTCAGCTCTCCTCTAGCTGCCTGAGCCACGGATGTTCCAGTCACCCTGACATGTCCACAGTGAAGCATTTTGATGGGAGGGTTCCCATCATTCAAGCAAGGCCCAAAACCCAGAAACACTTTTTTTTTTTTTTTAATTCTGTCATCACTGGTTCACACAGAAAATGGAGCCGAAATGCCACATTGCACCTACTGACTCCCGCTTTCAGGCCAAGTATGGCTTCTCTCATGCTAAACTGACCCACCTCATCACACAGGGGTGGGAGCGCCTTTCTCATGGGGCTATCAACTAGGAACTGGGTGCTGGAAAGTTCTCCATCAATCTAAGAGTGACAGTTTTATGCCAGTCATGATATATTCCTTAGCTGCTTGTGATTTAAGGTTTGAGCCATGGCAAGCAAAGACACAACATGGATAGAACGGGGAAAGCCTGGAGTAATAATTTGGCATCTGGAGAATTTAAAATCTCTAAACGGTAGAAATGCCAGTCTGTGCTGTTCATCCACTGCTTGAGCAATTTACTGTCTGCAGAGCACTTACCCAGGAAGATGTTAATGATAAGTAGGTGTTAGGTATTGCTGCTACCGGAGATAGTGGTTCTAGATCAGACCTCAGATCTTCCCCTTAGCCCTCCTGGCACGGCACGATCCACACTGGCTGATGGAGGGCAGCCAATAGGAAAGCCGATAAAGCTAACCTAGAAATTCAAAATTTCCCCTTTCTCTTCATTAATTGTCTACTTCTGTTTCAAGTTTTGTAGTGCCAGGGATCAAGTGCCGACCTCATGCATACTATCCCGCAGCCACGCACATCACTGTACTGGTGTCTGAGTCAGCCATCAGCTTCCTCATCCAGAACGGGGCGATGCCGCCTGCAAACTACAAGTGTGTCAGCTCTGTGGAATACACATGGGAAGAGCCTGAGCCAGTGCTGGGCACTGGCTGGGACTGCAGAGATGGCCTCCACGCTCCCCAGCTGGCCTCATCTCCCTCCTATGGCTCATCATGTCTGGCTCTTCCTGTGAACTCCTCCTGGCTCTTCTTTCCTCACTGAATGGAGCTGCATGCTAGCTTTTACTGTGGACTGAAAACTTCAGTTGTCCTCCTGCCTTTAGCTGCAGCCTGGGAGACTCTCCTGAGAGAAGGAATGTTAGAAGTTTGCCCTGAAGATCGGATCAGAAAGATCCTGAGGTCTCTAGGGCTAAGTTTCACAGCTGGGCAGGTGGCAAGGGGCGAGAAGCAGGGTGGCCCGTCTCCCTTGCCCATGCCACCACGTGATAGATGAGGGCTGGGTCCAGCTCTCCTATGCTCCTGCCCTGAGGGCCAGCTCTACTGTGCTGCCCCGGTGAGGTGCCGACTGTTCTCCTGGTGCCATAGCCAGTGAGGGGCGGGGCTAGCTCTGCACAGCCCTTGGATACTGGCATGGTCCCAAGTGGCAGCACAAGCCAGGGACATCCCCACGGCCTTGAGTGGTGATGTGCGCCCCAGACATTAACACAGACCCTTGCTGATAGAGGGTCACAGAGCCAGACCTGGCCCTCAGCAGCAGCATGGGAGTGATAGCTCAATGGTTAAGAGTACTGGCTGCTCATCCAGAGGACCTGGCTTCAGTTCCCAGCAACCACATGGAAGCTGACAACCGTCTGTGACTCCAGTCCTAGGGATTTAATGCCCTCTTGTGGCACGGAGCTCTGGTTTTTACCCAGGCACTGGTGTGTAAACCAGATGTGGTGGTGCATACTTAAAAATCCCTGAACGTGGGGGATGAAGTCAGGAGCATCAGAAGTTCAGAGCCATCCTTGACTACATTCTGAATTTGAGGTCAGTCTCGGCTATGGGAGACACTATTGTAAAGAAAGAAAAGAGGAGGGTAGGAAGAGAGAGTGAGAGGGCTAACTCACCAGTCTCTGCCAGCTTCAGCAGGGAAGTTACTTGGAGTCTCTTCATGACCATTGTTGGGTTCTGCTTCTGAATCTGGGCAGCTTTTCTGACCAGGAGCGGTTTGGAGGACTGAAAAAAAAAAAATGTCAGTGCTTAGAGGTCAAAGGGCAAGGTTGAAGGGCTGAGCTCTGTTGCCTGTCAATGCTCTCCACAGCTCCTTTCTTTGGGTCAGAGCATCCCCCTAGCCATCTGCAGACTTATAGGGTATGCCGTTAAATCAAGCGTGTTCGGGGACTCTAGGTCTTGCTCAGTGTTAGGTCCCAGCCCACAGATGAGATTAAAGTAGCTCTTAGGAATACAAGCTACGACTTTCTGGCATTAGATACATACAATGGGTGAAGGTTCCAGGTCCCACGCAGGGTGGGATAGCTAGAAGAGCACCGTAGACATAGTTAAGCCAACCAGAGGTGGCCGTTTCCACATTGCTACACAAGCAGTCACCTGATGAATTTCTTTTTTTTTTTTTTTAAAGATATATTTATCATGTATGCAGTATTTTGCCTGCATGTATGCCTGCAGGCCAGAAGAGGGCACCAAATCTCATTAGATGGTTGGGAGCCCCCATGTGGTTGCTGGGAATTGAACTCACGACCTCTGGAAGAGCAGCCAGTGCTCTCAACCTATCTCTCCAGCCCACCTGATGAGTTTCTTAACAAAGGGAGCCACAGTCCCTCCTTCCTGTGATGGTGGCAGCCATGACTAATCAGGCCTGACTCTATTTTCCACTGACCCTCGAGTCAGCTTCAGGTCAGTCTCTGAATGACCTGTGGGTCCCCAACCAGCACCACAGGGCAATTTTGAGGACCTCGTGGGCCTGCAGAGCTGTTTTGATCAAGCTCTCCCTTTGACCCTGATCCTTGTTGAGGTATGAAGCTCTGTTTCCGGTCAATGAGTTTTAATGCTGGAGTTGCACTAGAACCACACAGGGATGTTTTAAACAGAGCCTGATCCCACCCTCAAGAGATTCTACAACTGACCCTGTGTTGAAACTGGCACCAATTAAAAAGAGATTCCCAGATAATTTAATACATGGCCAGAACTAAAAAATGACAGTCGCCATTGCTTACTGTCAATCAACTAGGGAAGGGAAGAGGCTCCACACCTACTTGCTATTTACTTTCACTATTTTCATTTTAGAAAGTCTAGAAACAACCAAACCAAAATACGACAACCAAACCAAAATGTGGCCATTGCCGCATAGTAAGGTAAGACACCCAAGTTGAAAACTGTTATGATGCCAGGTGTGGCAGCACACGCCTTTAATCCCAGCACTTGAGAGGCAGAGGCAGGTGGATCTCTGTGAGTTCGAGGCCAGCCTCGTCTACAGAGCAAGTTCTAGGACAGCCAAGGCTACACAGTGAGACCCTGTCTCGAAAAAAAACAAGCAAAAAAGGGAAAACTGTTACGAAGATAAGACACACAACATGACAGAAATAAAGAATAGAAAAAAGAGAGAGAAATATAGATTCAATTACTTTCCTCACGTCTACTGGGGGAAAGCTGTGCTCTTGCTTTAGATTGCTAGCTTCTTCCCTTCAAAATAAATATCTCTGTGTGGAACAAATGTAATTCTTTGGGTTATTTGTTGTGGATAAAACCATCTGTTGTCGTTATTATTGCTATTGTACAAATGCCAAAAGGATGAAGAAAGAAATCTTAATGGAACATTATTATATCTTACTATGACACAAAAAGCATCATAATCAGTGAAAATGAAGTTTGTTTGTTTGTTTGTTTTAAAGGAAGAAAGAAAGCAGAAATGAAGAGCTATAGCGCAAAGCCCCTCGGCATTCCATTAACTGATTTCCTGCCTTGCCACCTTCGTTCTCTTGACTGATAAATTCCTCCAGTTGGGGTTCCAGACACATCTCCCCTCTTCAAGATTGTTTGGCTCCAACTCACATGTCATGGCAGGGAAAACGCCATAAAAGAAAAAATTGACATGAAAAGAAGAATTGAAAAAAGAGAGCTTGTTCTCAGGCACAAATATATTTCTTTTCTTTGTTCTGAAGGAAAATTGCCTTAACTGGGCTGAGGATACAGCTGGGTGGCTGAAGCACCTGCCTGGCCAGCATGAAGCCCCAGGGTTGAGCTTCAGCCCTGCTCAAGAGTGGGCCTGGAGGCCAGTACCCGTAATCCTAGCACTCGGTAAGGAGAAATGGAGGGTCAGAAGTTCAAAGTTGTTGGTTGTTTTTTTGTTTTGTTTTGTTTTGTTTTTTTTCAGCTATATAGTTGAGTTCTTAGTTAGCTTGGAGTACATGAGATCCTGTCACACAAGCGCACTCGCACACACACTCTGACAGAAAAGAAAGGAAAGGAGGGATGGAGAGATGGATGAATGAATAAAGAGAGGGAGACAGAAGGAAAAACTCACAATGAACTTTTACCCTGCTCTTGGGCCCAATTCAGGAGCACCAAGGGCTAGAAAACAGCACTGCCTGTGTGGAGAGCTGGGATTGCAGGCTAGTGGTTTGTACCTATTTGGAAACCTTAATTTTAAAAAGGGAAAATAACAGTTTAATAGCAACCCCCAAAGGCAAAAATTACAAAGAAAGGCAGTGAGGATGGCAAGGTCCAGGACCATGACCAAGAAGGGCAGCAGAGCTTCCCCTGAGGCTCAGCACTTGCCTTGCTTTCAGGTGAAAACTTACAGAATTTCCCTTCGTGTAATTGAAGGGAAAACTCATTCCATGTTTCTTATTCATTTACACTTCAGTCATCAAAATATTGATTCCAGGAGTTATTTGAAGTATAAAAACCAAACAGAAAACTTAGAAAATATTTCTAATAAAGTTTAGATGAAGTCTGCCTCTCCATCCCCAGCCTTGCCTATAGAGGGATCACCATCTAAGGAGATGAGGAAGATCAATCCCTCGAGTTCAAAGCGAGACCCCAAGCTGTTAAGTATTTAAGGGCATCCTGGTGCAAGCTGGGATGGCCCCGGAAGCTGTCTGGCAAATGGATCCTCAAACAAAAAGATGGGGGAGATGGAAACAGGAAGCAGAAGAGAGAAACAAGGTCACCCATTTTAGGTGAAAGTGTCAGGTTCAAAACCTTAGACCAGTGACGTAATAGGAAATACAATTATGAACGTGAGCGGCAGGAATGTTCACCAAGTGATGGACTTGGGCCGGTGCACAGCGGGTGGCTGAGGCGTCAGCAGGCACGGCTCACCTCAGCGATTCTGGCTTAAGGAAGTAACGAGGTCCTGAATCAGCCCGAGCTCTGTGAGTCGTGCATGGTTCCCTGGAGCTCTGAGCTCAGCATCTACTAGATCATATTGAAACAAAACGGGAAGGCACTTGAGTGTCAGTGGTTTCAAGGAGGGTATCTGTGGTGGCCGGTAGTAACTGTCAGCGTGACAGAACCTAGGGTCACACAGGAAGAATGTCCTGTGGGCACATCTGCTGGGATTGTCTTAACTGCCATTGGTGAGTGAGAGGACCATGCCTAAGCGTGGGCAGTACGGCTCCGAGGGTTTAAGTGCTGGACTGTCTGGAGAGGTAGACACCAACAGCACACGCCTGCATTCATTCTCCTGCCTTTGGGGTGGCTCTGATGTGACCAGCCGTCTCAAGCTCCTGCCGATATAACTTCCCCGAGGGGACGGGCTGGAACCTGGAAATGTGACCTGAAAGAAACCTCTTCT